CATATTTTGAAGCTCTAACCCCCAAAGTGTCTGTATCTGGAGACAAGATTCTTAGGAGATAATTAATGTTAAATGAGGTCGTAAGGGGGGGGGTCCATTTTTAAAAACTAAAAGACACTAATTATTCTCTAAAACGAGTGGCTGTTCGTCAGCATGACTTATACGAAGTAAGCTTTTCTGATAGCAGAAAGATGCTCAGGGTCTAAATTTTTTCTCTTTCATTTCCCCGCCCGCCCCCCCAGAAAAGTGACAATAAAAGATTTAATGTACGTGGTCATTTGTCCTGGGTCACATGAGATTTGGCAGCAACTAAGGTGGCCATTCCGTGATTGAGATTTAGAAAGTCACCAGCAAGAGGCAGAAAACCCCAGAACACTGACCCTGAGATGTGCCTTTGGGGCACTGAAGCAATGACCATCTGGAGACAAAGAGGAGAGCTGGGATTGCCGATTGCATGGGGATGGGTAGGGGGAGAAGGTGAGGAGGTGCTTTGACCAGGAAAAGAGCTGAGAATGTGTGGAAACAGACCTCCGAAGGAATGGAAGGGAAAAATACTTGGGACCACAATTGCAGACAGAATGCGATGAAGTTGCTGTTTCTTGCCCATGAGTTTAATGACAAGCTTCCTCCCCTTTGGATGCCAACTAAGCAGGAGCCGGCAGGGCATCCCCTGACTTTGCAGCCCAGCCAGGCCTGGAATCTGCCCCAAACACAATCACAGATATTCCCAAGGCTTGAAGTCCATCCAGAGACTAGTCATTTGATGCAATTGCCTGTGGTCTGAAAAACAAACTCCCACCCAAACATATTGTACCTGGGGAGACTGCAATCTCAATGATCATGTCTCCCAGGACCCAGGCCCACTCTGACCACAGGATCTTTCTAAAGGCGTGACCGACAGAAGTGTGCACAATTCCACCATGTAATTTTTGTCTGGGAGGTAAAATACGTGTGTCGTTACATCATTTTCCTTAGCGTAGCGATCCCTTAAGAGAAGAAAGCCTGACCAAATCCCTTCTCAAAGTCAACCACAGAAATAACGTTTTAATATTCTCTCCTGTCTTCCGTGACCTCGTACAGCTTTCACACACAATTTCTCATTTTATCCTCAAAACAACGCATCGAGGTATGTACTGTTATTCCTGCTTCCTGGGCCAGCCTAGAATTTCTGCTTCCCCCTTTCCGTCCTCCCGTTGGAAGGTCACGCTGGGCAACCCAGCCAAGTCACGTCGGAGGGATTAGTTCCCTGTGACACCCCTTCCCCCACTCCCCTGACCCACAGGCCGGACACAAAAGAGGCTGCCGGAAACTCCTGACCGCTGCCAAGCCGGTAGCCGCAGTGCCCTGGAGAGGAGTTCTCAGCTCACAACAGAGCATTTCTCATCTAGTTTTTTTATGGGTTTGGGGTTGGGGAGGGGTTGGTGACCAGCCAAAGACGGGTGGCAGAATGATGAAATCAGGCAAGCCCGCAGCACTGATTCATGTAACGGTGGGAACGGGGACAGGCTTTTGTGCCAACCAGAATGTGCCTTGGTTACACACTCCAGTTAAAAATAGTGGTGGCTCAGGATCGGCCATGGTGGTCCAAAAGAAATTTTCCTTCGTCCGTAATATTCTAACTGCTTTCAAAGCAAACATATTTCTGCATTAGTTACAGAATATAAGTTATCTTTAAAATTCAGAAGGAAATGGCCTCCGCTTCTCTTTGGAGGGCCCTCAGGTTCTGGGGTGGGGTGGGGTGGAGGTGAGGGTGCAGGGAGATTTCTAACTTCTGCTCTGATTATCTCAGACCCGCACCGTGCACACCCGTTCAGCTCAGCCAGCGTTTACCTGCCCACTACTGCACAGCCCAGGGCTTCACGGCCTACCAGGCACAAGCACATGGGACCCTCTGGAAGAAGGTGATGAATCAGAAAGAGTCTGATGAAAGAGGTGATGAATCTCAAATCACCTACACCCGTGGTTGGCTGAGGGCAAGTTGGGGCAACAGACAGACAAGCAGCCAACCATAACCAGAGACAGAGGAGGTAGGTCCTGTATCAGTCATAATGTCAGAGTTGGCCTTGAAGAACTTGTGGAATTTTGAGATGTAAGGAAGGGATGGTGCAGGGGTGGGCCAGCCCGGGAAGAGGAAACATCTTGGAAGACAATTAGGATGTAGATGAAAAAACTCATGGTCATTTCCAATTCCACCGCCATAGCCCCCATCACTGATCCTTGTGCCCCTGGAACATCTCACCTGTGCAGCCCTCTTTGACATCTCTACCACCCCCTCCATTCTGGGGGATCTCAACAGGAGACAATGTGTGTGAAAGCACAGTTGTTTCCACTGTTGTTGCTATTCATAAAACTGCCTGGAGATAGACAGAAGTGGGAAGCAAAGGTCAGAGGGATTAAAGAATTTGCCCAGGGCTTCCCTGGTGGCGCAGTGGTTGAGAGTCCGCCTGCCGATGCAGGGGATGCGGGTTCGTGCCCCGGTCTGGGAAGATCCCACGTGCCGCGGAGCGGCTGGGCCCGTGAGCCATGGCCGCTGAGCCTGCGCGTCCAGAGCCTGTGCTCCGCAACGGGAGAGGCCACAACAGTGAGAGGCCCATGTACCGCAAAAAAAAAAAAAAAAAAAAGAATTTGCCCAGCTGGTGAGGAAGGGAATCAGGAAGTTAACCCGGGTCACCCCCATCCCCGCCAGCTGTCAAATAAGGTAGATGGTGTCTGGGTTTATAGACCCCTAAGTGAGATCACCCTGGTTTCAATCCCAGTTCTGACATCACTGTGTGACCTTGAGCAAAGTACTTAACCTCTCTGTGCCTCCATTTCCATTGGTACAAAATGGGGTAATAATCCTTACACCAGAGCCATCGGGCAGATTAAAAAGGATCCTGCCTGTAAAATGTTTAGTATAATGTCTGGAACACAGGAAATGTTTAAGCATTCATTTGCCACTGCTATCTCCTATCACTGATAGTTATTGTCCCCACCCACTGTCTCTCATTCGGTACCTGAATTTTGGAGGCTGGTAGTTGGCTGGAGACCACGTCTGAACCCTTTCCTTAATCCCACTATCCTCCTCAGAAAAGCTGCTCTCACTCCATTTGCAGACTTCACAAGAATTCTCTCAGCCTGCTTGTGCCATCACTCAGTATGGTGCTTTGGAATCCTTCTGTTAGCACAGCTGTGTCTGGGGTCTGGGAAAGCTCTGAGGACCCCGGGGGTGGGAGATGCACATGAGAGAGGGTCTCTCGAGCAAGTGGAGGTGGGGGGTATGTAAGCAGCCTCCCATCCTGTTCCTCTGTCTGGCAGGCCGGCACCCCTTCTCTTCCTGTGTGCTACCCAGGGCTGGCCCGGACGAAGAGCTTGTCTGCACCTTGGCTTAGATGGGCTTTCTTGCAAGCTCACCCGCAGGGGAACATGAGAGCTGCATGCTCACTGAATCCTAGACCCTCCCGGCCTCACTGCTGGGGCCAGGTCCCCTCCATCCCTGACAGGTTCATCCAGGGACTGGGTCATAACCAGGAGGAAGTTCGGGGCCTCCTGGGACTTCCACCCACAGATCCCCGCTCTCCTCCTGCAGAAACCCAGCCCCGTCTTTCTTCCATGGTGGGTCCCACACTTCTGGAATCTTGAGTGAAGCTCATGTGCCCCATCCTCTTATTGTTCATATGAGAAGGCAAAGGGCCAAGGCTAGAACTCAGAGCCAGCCCTTTCCCCCTGCATCAGTGGCTCCCAACTTCTTTCCACGTTAGAATCACCTGGGACCTTTCAAAAACTCCAAAGTCACAGCCACATGCCAGACCAGGGAAATCACGCTCTCTGGAGTTGGGCAGGTAAGTTTCCCAAGTGATTCCAATATGTGGGCAAGTTTTGGAGCTACCGTCCTTGCAGCCCCAAGAATCCCGATAAATGGCCACACGTCAGGCTAAGTGCCCTGAGTCAGGATTACCCATTACCTCAGTGGTCCCTTTTCGATTGCTGACCTTCTGAACATCAGGAGGGACTTACTCATGTGTTAGTGAGAAGCTGCTACACGTTGCGCAAGTACTGTAGAGTTATGTAGTCGGCATGCTCACTAAAGTTTAAATAAATTAATATGCTTAGACAAATGTGCAAAGCCACGATCAAAATTCTCCAATTATTCACTAATATCTTAATCGTGTTTATAAAAAATAAAGGTGAATATTGAAGCTAATTAAATCTCCTTAAAAATGCCAAGGTGAAGTATATAAAATCCAAATGTCTCTGATGAGGTTGCAATTATTTGCAAATTTTTCAATTCCCACTGAGCGATTAGATACAGTTTTATCATTTTTATTTATCTAACTAATTACATCCTGCTTCTCCCCCTGAAAAGAACACAAGTAGACAAACAACTGTTCTATATTCACTTGATCCAATTATGTGTGTATAATTTTGGACACGTGTTGCCTTTAGCAGAGTTTGATTTCTTTGAATCTCAAATTTTGGGGTCAATTAGTCCAGTCATTTATAACTGTCTGGGTCCTGGACTCCTTTTGAGTCCACGTACTCTGATGAAAACACAGTTTCTGGGAGCACCTGGACTCCCAAAGTCCCCCAGGTCCCCAGCTGAGTCCAGAAAAATGAGGAAACAAGCCCAGAGGCTAAAGTGACTCAAGCTGCCAGTCAGTTCCACTCTCAGGATTGGAACTCCCATCTCCCGACCCTCTGGCCATTCTGGGAGAGACAAGCCTAGGGCCTCCTTGCCTGGGTTCAAAGCCTGATTCTTCTGCCTGTTAGCTGGCGATGTGTGCAAGTTATATCACCCCTCAGTGCAGTGGTTTCTGTGTCTGAAGACGTCCTCATTTGCCTGCCCGCTTGTTGTGTTTGCTGTAATTATTTACAAGCGAGAAAAGAGGCGCTCGGGGGATAGGCAGTTGCCCTAGGTCACCAAGCTGCTAAGCGATGTGTCTCCAAAGCCTGTAGTCTTGGCACATACCACGCTGCATCCCCAATTTCTCCCGGCCCTGACCGGGACGGAGTAGGATGCAGGAAGTCCAGGAGCCACTCTCAGGGAACAGCCTTCAAGTTCAACAGGGCACGCCAGCTCTCTCCCCGGCAGAGAAAGGACCAGCAAGAGGACCAGGAAGGAGAGGGAGGTCAGTGTTTTATGCAAGGGGATGGAGAGACATGCACGCAGTGAGGCCAGCCTGGGTGAGGGGAGGGGCTGCTGCCCAGTGGGAGGCCTGGCCTCTGGCTCCCACCCCAGGGGTCGTAGAAACAGCTGGTGGCAGCAGCACAGGCTGAGGGAGGCGGCAGGGGCCGGCTGGGCTGGCCGAGCTACAGAGGGGTTTCCTGGAGTATCCAGCCACAGGTACCTTGGAGCAGCCCTGGGCTGAGAAATCTGAAAACCCCTCCCTTCCTGGGCTGTGGGCCGGGTTGTTGGAACACTTTCAGTTTTGTTTCTCTGCCCTCAAGAACCGAAACTCCTCGAAACAGAAAGACTCCGCAGACCAGAACATGGAGGGAAACTTCCAGGCGTGCAGGAACTGGTAAGAAGTTGCTTTCCCAGCGGCCGACCTGAGGCTGGCTAGTGAGAGGGGCAGACGGGATAAGGCTGCTTCTGAAGTTAAGAGAAAAGGGCCCTTGTACCCAGGAGGGCTAGGGTGGAAGATTTAAACTCAGGAGATGTAGGAAGATGATGAGAGATGGTCAGGGTTGGCTAACACCCCACCCCAGATATTTCAGTCTTTCTGGGACAGTTCTAAAGCCAAACAGCCAGGCTAACTGTCCCTGCTGGGCTATTCATATTTTTCAGAACTTGGGTCCTAACTTGGAGTTCTGATCATATGCTCTTCACACCAGTCTTAGACAGAAAGGGGCCCACGGAGGTTGTCCGGGACCACACCCGCCCTCACCTTGAGAGGGTGCTGTGGAGCAGGGTGAGGGGATAGAGCAGGGGTCCCAGACCACACGTCTAACTCGGGGAGACCTGGCCCCTTGAAGTACCTCACTCTCGAAGCTCCCTACCTGTGGTGGGAACCAGGGGGATCCCTCCCAGAGAGCTTCCTCCAGGCAGACCCTCCTGGCTGGACCAGCTCAGGAAGAAGAGCTGAAGGGCCAGGCCGGACAGAAGGAGAAAGGGGCCAGGCCGGGCAGAGGGGCAAGAATAGAGGAAGGGAGTGGGAAGCAGCTTTTGTGCCACCTGCTTGGGCTCTGCAGAAGCCAAGACCTTGTTCAGACCAAGCAGAGTGAGGCTCTGGCTACTCCCCTCTGGCCACATCCCACGTGCCCAGGACATGGGCGGGCAGCTCTCATCATCCTTTAGGCCTTCAGAGCTGTGGCCACTACGTGTCCTCTCTCCCAAGCTGCCACGAGCAAGAGCTGGTTGACATGAAAGGAGGAGTATTAAGAAACGCCCTGCCTGGGAACTGGGAGGGTCAGAAGCTTGTGTTTTTCGGGGTCTCCAAGGAGGGTCTCAACCTCTCTGTGGGTCGCACAGGTGAGCCTTAAGGCAGGGAAAGGTAGATGGCTTCTCGTTCTGGGAGACCTGGGAAGCTCTCCCTATGGGGATTCTGAAAGTTGGCATTGCCCTTGCAAGGCTCTGAGTGGGCATGCAGGCCTGGATTTCCAACTGGCTGTGGGCCAAGCAGGGGAGTGCTTGAAAATAGACAAAATATTTGAAAGAATTTGAGATTTGTTATTTCATTTTAAAAACAGCTTTACCAAGGTATAATTGACATAAACTGCATTTATGGTACCTTTTAAAAAATATTTATTTTATTTATTTAGTTGGTTGCACCAGGTCTTAGTCGAGGCAGGTGGCCTCCTTAGTTGCCGCTCACCGGCTCCTTAGTTGTGGCATGTGAACTCTTAGTTGTGGCATGCATGTGGGATCTAGTTCCCTGACCAGGGGTTGAACCAGGGCCTTCTGCATTGAGAGTGCGGAGTCTTAACCACTGCGCCACCAGGGAACTCCCTGTGGTACACTTTTAAAGTGCGCCATTTGACATGTTTGACATAGATATATACCCATGAAACCATCACCGTGACTACTAAAATTCAATAAGCTATCAAGTTAGGAAGAACAAAAGGGAATTTTATTCAAGCCACGCTGAGAATGATGACCCAGGAAGCAGATTCTCAGAAAGCTCTGAGAACAGTCCCACCAGTTAAAAGTCGAAGGCACAGTCATGTACATTTTTGAGACAAAGGATCATACATAAAAATGACATACTGGGGCTTCCCTGGTGGCGCAGTGGTTGAGAGTCCGCCTGACGACGCATGGGACGCGGGTTCGTGCCCCGGTCCGGGAGGATCCCACATGCAGCGGAGCGGCTGGGCCCGTGAGCCATGGCCGCTGAGCCTGCGCGTCCAGAGCCTGTGCTCCGCAACGGGAGAGGCCACAGCAGTGAGAGGCCCGCGAACCGCAAAAAAAAAAAAAAAAAAAAAAAAAGATATACTGATATTTCACAAAAAATTCACCAAGGATACATAGTCCAAGTAAGCACGTACAAAGTGTACGAAGCAAACAGCGAGTCACGGTCACTAGGACCCCGTACGGAGCTGGGAAAGAACCCTATTCTTTTATAAAGTTCCATTGCTAGCTTCAGAAGAAAGAAAGAAAAAATTGATCTTTACCATCGAGCAGGCACTCCCATCTTTGAGGAGCTCTGGTTAATGTGTAATACAGATGCACACCGTACATTAGGGAGGGAGGAGGCCCAAACAAACACAGAGAGAATTTTATGTTTAATTTTTTCTTGTCCTGCCTCAAAATATAAATTATATTTCATCAAATCACAATCAAGATGATGAACGTATCCATTCCCCCCAAAAGTTTCCTCCGGCCGCTTTGTAATGTCTGCCTCCCGCCCCTCCTTGCCCACCCCCTCTCACCCCAGGCAGTAGAAGAGTTTACAGAGCATCCTTACACTTATTTTATGATTTTGCACTGTTCTGATCTAGGACCAACATGGGGAAGGGGGGCAGGTGGTATCGTCGTCATATTTTCAGTGCTTGAGGCCTTGAATGATCTTAATCCAGCAGCTGTGGAGATGAAATACGGCTCCATGCTTTCTACCATGAAATAAGCCTGTTTTTCCTCCCTCTTGATCCTGCAGCAAAAGAAGCGGGGCCCCTGGCCACTTGGCCCTCCCTGGGGCCCACTGTCTGCACTTCAAGGTCCTCTGTCCGGAGTGCAAGGAACCGATGGAAGAGCACAGCGGGGGCGGGCACCAGCAGGTGGGGAGGCGGAAGCAGGGATGGGGGTGGGGGCACCAGGTGGCCAGCCGGAGCCCGGCCCGCACTGCAGCCCGTCTCAGGTGGGCACCCCGCGCCCAGCACCCCCTGTGAAGTGGAAAGGGTAGTTAAATCTGCCTTTCTTATACTGCACTGAGTCAACCCTGGTTTTCCCATCCCCTATCCTTTCCCTACAGGCGAATGGGTCCAGCCAAGGCAAGGGAGTCCCTGTTTCAGGAAAGGTAAAATTTTCCCTCGAGATGTGTCAAGAGGAGAAACAGGAAAGGAGAGCTCTAGAAGGCACTCATGGCCAAGGCTGGTCAAAGGTTAACCTTTCTCTCCTGCTGTTTCTGGAGATACTCAAGCTCAGGCATCCATTTCAACTCAGCGGGTCCCACAGATGCGCCTTGAGCACAGGGCTGGTGCTGCAGGGAGACGAGGGAACCTGACTCCTGCCCCCAGGCGCTCACAGACCCGCACCTGACACACACAGCCAGGGCCACTGAGCTGGGTGGGACTCCAGCGTCTCCCTCCGTGTTTAGGTGGGGTGCGCAGCGTGTCAGCAGAGCCTGCCGAAGCACTTGCTGGAGATTCAAGAGGTGAGAGTCAGCTGTGATTTCTTCTCCCAAGCCCAGGAGGAGGGGAAGGGGCCAGTAATAAAGATTTCCCCCCCTCCTCCTCCCCCAGCTCTCTCTTCTTGCCCAAGGAGGCCTGGGGCACAATGGGGAACTAGCTCATCACAGGGCCTCCTGCCCCCAGATGCCCGTCAGAAGGGCCTGCCATGGTCCACAAGCCCAAGAGAGCTCGTGTTTGCCAAGGAGAGTCCCCCCACCCCCTGGCCTTTCCCACCTGCTTTCTCTTACTGGCTTCAGTCCCCCAGGGAAATAAGCTCATATCCCCAACGTGACTGCAGTCACTGCAGGCCAGTGACCATGCCTGTCCCGCCTGCTTCCCCGCAGGCCAAGGAATGCCAGGAGCGCCCCGTTGAGTGCCAGTTCTGTGAGCTGGCCGTGCGCCTCAACAAGGTGGACATCCACGAGCACCCCTGCGGCAGGCGGACGGAGGTCTGCCCAGACTGCGGCCAGCGCATCGTGCTCCACATGCTGGCCCGGCACAGAGACGAGTGCTGCGGTGAGCAGACCCGGCTCCAGAAAGGTGAGCAGGGGTGGCAAGGAATGTAAGCTCTCAGCAGGACAGGTGACATGTGTGATGACAGATACACGTGTCTCAAATTCATCTGGCTACTCTGGACCACATACTAGAGTGGCCTTCTTGTGTGTCTGCTGTGGTCTCTAAATGACTGGTCCAGGGACACCAAGACGCCAGGAGCTGCGGGCCTGGGAGCTACACAGATGAGTGCAGAGGCAATGGGGGCCCGACAAAATGGGAGGCTTCCTTGGAACCCCTCAAGCACAATCCCAGCCTGGCAGAGACCCACCTGCATCCTTTTACAGATGAGAAACCTATGCATAGAATGAAACAGGGGCTTGCTAGAGGCACAAACCAGACAGGACATCCGAGTTCCCTGACACCAAATCAGGAGATTTCACCACCATCAGCAGCGGACAGAAGGGATCTAGTTGTAACTCCTGACCTTCGAGCCTATGTGTTGGCCGCCTGGTAGCACTGTGTGTTGTCTTGACCTGGTTACCTCTTCATGAGATGTGTTTACGGAGGACAGCAATGTGACAGGTCTTGTGTTCACTGGTTGTTTTAGTAACACAGTAACACATGGAGAGAGCCTAAAATGCTTTGTGTGGTAAGTCTCTCCTGGTAAACGATTTTATTAAAATCGGCAAATGAAAAACTGGAGCGCTTGAGATGCGTGGACATTTCCAGCATGGCTGGGCTTCAACACAGCCCACAAACGGCTCTTCAGCACAACTTCACCAACACAACACAACTTCAACAAGACAACACAACACAGCTTCAACACAGTCAACAAAGATGTGTGCAAGAACTCCTCGTTTGATCACAGAGCTCAGAGACTGGTGAAATGAAAGAGCAGTCAGACCGGACGGGGCTGGCATCTGTGGTAACGGCTCCTTCTGTCTCCTTAGAAACCAGTCCTGCGCCAGGAAAATGTCTCTTCATCAGGGCTGTGTGCTGCCCCGAGTGCACTTTTGCAGCTTAAAGGAAATGATGTGGGTGATTCCTGCTGTGGGTGGCCTGTGTGGCCAAGGACCCTGGCCGTGCAGGACACTCACGGCAGGCCGGGGACAGTTCATCATCAGGACTGCAGGCCATGTACGCGGTTGTGGGACAGTCGGGCTAGCCATTGTCAAGGGCAATCATTTGTGCTGTTGTTTCCATGCTTTTTCAGGGAAGAGAATTCCAGCTCCTGAAAGCAACATCTGCTGTCATTATTGCAACCAAATGATCCCAGGAAATAAGTATTTCCACCATGTGGTGAGTAGAAATTAGTTATTTTCTAATGGTGCCAATAGCTAGTCCATATTCCAAAAAGAGTGATATGAAAGGTAGATTCTGGGTCCAATTTTACACAGCATGGATAACAGAGGTTCCCATATTTAGTTTTGCTTTGTTCAAAAAGGGATGTTGTGAATTGGTGTAGGCTAATTTAGCACACATAATTGGTCTCCCATCATGCCAGCCCTTCAAGGAGCCTCCCTGACCAGTCCAGCTATCGTTGATCACCTCCAAACATCTTCAGCCTTCAGGGCCTGGCCATGGCAATTTGGTCCTTAATAGGACCTGCCTTATTATTTTCTGTCCCATGTGGGAGTCTTCTCAATTAGACTGTGAGCTCCCTCGAAAAAGTTAACAACTTTCTCCATCTTCCCACAGTGAAACTGGTATCAGGGCTAGGTACCAAAAGGGGGACTCTGTAAAGATGTCACGATGTGATTGATTGCTTTTGCCTGGGAACATTCACAGTCTCCTCCCTCCATCACTTGGAGCACGTTTTAGTGCATTAGCCCGTGCCAAGCTGCTCCCTTCTTTTGCAGGATGGAGCATTTTCTTTCTGGGGAAACTTCCTAAGGCTTCTCTCCAAAGAACTCATTTCCTTCTGCTTCGATGGAGCGCTGTTTGTTCTTTCTTTACCCTTCAATTCAGACAAACATGAATATCAGAACTAAAGAGACCCTAGGGATGATCTAGACCTTTTTGTTTATTGTGGGACAATACATATAAAGTTTACCATTAGTGACATTTAGTGCATTTTAATAGGAATACTTGACTTAATAAAGTCTAAATTAATCATATTCCCTACCCTCCTTACAAACAATATATGGATTTGAGAACACGTTGACTCCGATTCTCTTTTCCCGCCTTATATGTAAATGCTATGGAATTTAGTTTCACCTTGGTTTTTTTTTTTTTTTTTTTTTTTTTTTGCGGTTGCCGGCCCCTCCTTTTTTTTGCCTCTCCCGCTCCGGAGCACAGGCTCCGGACACGCAGGCTCAGCGGCCATGGCTCACAGGCCCAGCCGCTCCGCGGCATGTGGGACCCTCCCAGACCGGGGCACGAACCCGTGTCCCCTGCATCGGCAGGCGGACTCTCAACCACTGCGCCACCAGGGAAGCCCCTCACCTTGTTTTCATACTATCCCTCTTTAGTCATTATTATCGTTGTCATTTTATGCAATTCATGCCTGCTTGGATATACTCACACATTCACCTTTCTCTTTGCTCACGTTCTTTCTTAAATCCCAAGCTTTCCGTCTGGGTAGGATTTCTCTCTTCCTGAAATACACGTCTAGGTAGTTCCCTCAGCAAGAAGCTGTGAGGAGTAAATTTTTAGTTGCCTGCACAGGTACTTTTTTCCTGCATTACTGAATGGTAGTTTAACTGGGTGTCCAATTCTACGTTAACCGTTATGTTCTCTTAGCGTTTTGAAGTTTATTCCACCGTCTTCCCACCTCCATGATTGCTGTTGATAAGTCTGCTCTCAGTGTAACTGCCATTCTTTTGTGGATAACCCTTTTTCTTTGGTTGATTTCAAGATCCTCTTTGCCTTTGATCTTCCTGGTTCCACTGCAATGCATCCAAGAGAAGATGTATTTTTATTCATCCTGCTTAAAACAATATGCTCAAGTGTGTTTATTTTTTTCTTTCTTCTTCAGAATTTCTCCTGCCCAAATCTAAAGATTTAGTTCTGCCTTAATCAGTTCTGAAAAGTCTCAGCTCTAATCTCTTGGAATCCCCAGTCTTCCCTAACCCCTCCATGTTCTCCCAACTCTTTCTGTGGAACATATTAGATGTACATCAGGCCTTCTCGTTCTATCCTCGTGTCCCTTAACCTTTCACATTTTCTCTTCCTCTCTCCTATGTTCTGAATAATTTCCTCAAATCCTATTTTCAAGTTCATTCTTTCTTGGCCAAATCTAACTTGCTATTTTTAAGCCTATCCATTGAGGTTCAGTGTCTGTATTTTTCATTTCAAGAAGTTCTGTTTATCTCTCTTTCAAATTCACCTACTCTTTTTTTCATAGGGTCATATTCTTTTCTCTTGTTTGAATCATTTTTAATTAATGTATTTTATAGTCTCTCTCCTATAGTTCTGTTATCTGAACTCCTTGGAGTCTAATCCTGCTAATGGTTGTGTCTGTGACTCTTACCCAAGGTAGAGTGTTTCCTTGTGTGTACATCTGAATCACGAGCTTCTATTTGGTGAGACTCTATCTGTGAGAATCCTGTGTGACCTAGTTTGGGATTATGTAACCTCCAGAGGGATTTTGTGATTGCTTCTGCCATACATCCCAAATTTTACATGAATTCTTCTGCTTGGGTATTCCCAGAGCCTGAGGATTTTGTAAATCTGAACCCCAAATACAAGAATGGCATGAGCCTTGGATTTTGAGTTTTCAGGAGTGTCAGTTTCGCTTCTGCACCCTCAATTTCTAGTCCAAGGTAGACAAGCTCTCTTGCCACTTTCCTTTTCCAATTAGCCGATTCTTTTCTCTTAGCCACCACAGGTTTGCCTTCAAGGTTCCCAGCTTTACGCAGGGAAAGGGGAATCTTACTTCCAATTCCACATCTTGTGTGGGACTCTTCTCTTATCCAAGCTCTTAGATACAAGATTGGCCCCACATCTCCTCCTGAAGTGTCAGCTCATGTGCTTAACAGGTCAGGTCTTCATCCTGGAACACGGAGCTTGCTTGCTTGCAAAGTCAGCTCAGTGAACGTCATATTTTATCCAGCATTTCAGAGTGGGAATATTTCAGGTTATCTTGCCTATTGTACTGTCCACCATTAAAGCTGAGGTCATTTTAATATTTGAAGTATGACTCATAATTGCAGGACAGATGCCGTCCAATCTCAGACTCTGTGACATATTCTCCAGTTGGGAAACCAGATATTCCTCCTTCATCCCTTTCAAGTCAGGCTGCTGAAGATCAAACTTCCACAGCAGAGAAAGACGTCCGTCCAAAGACGAAAAATACAAGCAGATTTCGCCTTCTTTCTGAAAAGTCAACGCGGCAAGCACCAAGAGGCACAAACAAAACCACGGATCTGCCTTTGAAGTCTGATGGCAAGCTCAGGGGCTCCTCTCCTGTAGAAGACGAGACAGCCTATGACATTCTGAGGAGGTGTTCTCAGTGTGGCATCGTACTTCCCCTGCCAACCCTAACCCAACATCAGGTACCCAGCCTCTATTCTCTCCTCATCCGGCTGGGAGCCATCTGGACAGTGTTTAAAGAAATCCAAGACCTGCAGGATATTCTCAGACATCTTTATCTCCCCTTTCTCTGTGTGTCCAAATCCATTCTCATAGCACCTATCACCTGGTTATATATGTGCATCATCTCCCACCTCTGAAGGCAGAGCCAGATCTTTCATCTCTGTATCTCCAGTTCGCAGCCCAGGGAATAACCACAGCAAATGCCCCAAAACTGTGGAGCAAACAAATGGACAGAGCATACCCAATCTAGCTGTCTAGCTCATAGCGTAGATAAGGCAATCCAGGCCCAGAGATGAGAGCCTTGGTCAAGATACTAAGTCAGTTGGTATCTTACCTCCAGCAGATCAGGATTTGCAGCCTCAAAAGCCTGATTTTTTACATCCTAGATTATTTTCCAGTAATAATAAGAATTAGTATGAGGTAGTTAACCATTATGCGCCAGTTACAATGCAAAGCTCTTTACAAATGGTTAATCATTATAAAAAACATGCAGGTATTTTATCCCTATCTTACAGATAAGGAAGCCAGACAGAAAGGTTGAGTAGCTTCCCCAGGATTATACAACTAGAGAGTGGCAGAATCCAGCCTAAAATACATGTGTATATAGTTCCAAAGCTTATGCTTTGGAACTTATGCCCCAAACAGGATGCCTCACTCAAAAAAAAAAAGAGCTTTCATTATTTGATGTTTTTCAAAATACAAAAGTACTAGATACTACTAAATACTAGATTTTGTCGTAACCAGTTGACATGATACCATACAAACAAATAGAAAGATAAAGCTCATCCTCCCCCCCCCCCCCCCCCCTTCCCCAGTCCCACGCCCTGAGATACTAGTTTCAGTATCCTGGTGGGTGTCCTTCCAAAGCTTTAACTCCGTTCACACAAACGCGAACAAGCCTCTATGGGGTTTGAATTGTTTTTTCTTTTCCCCTATGTATCATCTTCCTATATCCATTACTCTGCCATTTGCCTTTTTCACTGAATATATGATGCACACTCCTTACAAAAAAGTAGACCTAGATCTTGTTTTTTCTAACTTCTTCTCTATATGCACACAGCACCTGATTTTACAAAGCTGAGTGAATTTCATACTTGCTGGGGGTGTTATTAGTGCCATATTTCCTTGCCCCCCACACTTTGAAATTTCCTTCCATACTTCCCTCCATCCTTACATAATAGGGTCGCCGAATTTAGCAAATAAAAATTCATTACTTGGGACAAAAATAACTACAAAATAATTGCATGAGACATACAAAAAAAATTCTTTGTTTCTCTGAAATTAACTGGACATCTTGTATTTTATCTGGCAACTCTGTTGTATAACCAGTCACACACATACACATTTGGAGTCCAATTATACACATTTCTTTGCATCTTAATGTTATGATTCATCAATACCCAAGGACATCCCTCCAAGTCAAATGATGTTGCCCCCCGCTTTTTAATGGCATAAGAGTCCATGGTGTGGGTATCCTCTAAACTGTTCATCCACCCGCCTCATGGTGATAGATAGGCCTCTATTAAACATTGTCCCAAGCCTCCCATAGACCCCTCATGGCTCACTGGGCTCCATACATTTTCTATGCCATCTGTAGCTCAGGGTTCCTGCTCCGGGAACTGGGGATAGGATTGCCCAGAGATATCCTAGGAACTAACACTCCCCACTTTAAACACACTGAACTTTTTTAATGTCCATTTCTTTAGGAGAAATGCTGGTGGTTAGCTTCATCAAAAGGAAAACAAGCGAGAAGTTCCAGCTAGCTTTGGAAAAGAAAAGGTACAACGGATTTAGAAGATTTTGTTTTTACACTGGTTTTTCTGCTTGCTTTCTGTGCTAGTCTTTCCTTGTGAAAAGAGATGGGTTTTATTCACTGGGTTTCTTTCTTGTAGAAGAAAAGGTTTGGATTCTGTTTTCCTCCTTTTGAGCCGAGATGTTGGTTTCCCCAAGAGCTCCAGATAAACCAGAAGAAAAAAGGGCTCTGACTCTTCTGCCTGAGAATTCTGATCAAGCGTCTAGGCTCCACACAGCCTGGACACCTTAGGGAACCCAGCTTTGTCCCCGAAGAATAAAAAAGCCCTCCCTGAAAACTTGTCCTCCACCTTTTTGTAGATTTTTCATTGGTTTTCCAGGGCCACAGATGGCAGCGGCTAGCACGGCAAGGAAAGGGGAGTGGCAGCAAAGAAGAAAGGGGAGAAAGGAAGAGAAAAATGAGGCTGGGTGGCAGGGGAGAGCCAGAAAGCACAAAGACGTGCTAGTGAGGGCTGTTAGTTGGGAGACACCTAGAGATGCAGCCCACCTCCCAGCAAACAGCACACCCTACCTTTCTGCCTGGCCCGTGGGGAGACCCCAGACCCCACCAGGGAAGGAAGGGCCCAGGACACCCCACCCTCCCGAAACTGGAAAAGTGGGGCATTTCTCAAGCTTTGTCAAGTTGTCGAAGTCAGGTTTGCTTAAGACTTTCCTTAGGTCGGCAGCGACAGTGGTTTCCCGAAGAGAGGCCCCGCACGCTGGGTCCCCGGGACTGGACAGGACCCCGAGGATGGGTCAGGACAGGAAAGGTGGCGACTGCGCGGGCCTGCGCCCCAAGTCTGGGGGCAGAACCTCTTCCTCGCAAGAGGAGGGACGGGCAGGGGTCGCGGGGCCCAGCCTTCCGCCTCTGGTCCCCCGCGGCCAGGGCGCCTTCCCGGGCCACCTGCGCGGGGACCCGTCTTGCCCCGCACGCGCACGATCGGTTGAGCTGGCAGCCCCAGGTTTGGGCCCCGCGGCCGCGGGCTTGAGCAGAGCCCGGCAAGTGGGGGCGCGTCACAAAGGCGGCCGGCCCCTCGGCCTCTAGCCCCTGCGGGGCCGGGCGCGGAGCCCACCGCCGGTGGCGTCGGAGCCGAGGCGGCGCGGGCGCAGCAGGCCGGCGCTCGAGGTCCCAGCAGCCCGAGCAGCGAGCGGCGGGTAAGGCGACGCGAGCGGGCGCAGGCCGGGAACGCCCCGAGGCCAGCGCGGGGGTGCGGGGCTGCCCTCCTCACCTGCCGCCCACGCAAGGCTCCTGGGCCACCTCCCCTCCCCGGGTGATCGGACACGTAGGTTTCCTCCCAGGCTCGGCAGCTGTGTGACGTGGTAAACCCAGCCTAGGTTCCAGCGTCCTTAGGCTGGGTTGGAATCCCGCTCCCCACCTAGCACGCCATCTCACCGGGACACTTTCCTAACCTCCCATTTGTAAATACCTTCCCTACAGGGATGTTTTGGAAGCACCTTGCCACCCACATTCTGATGGCAGCAAACACTTGTATAACATTTACTGTGTGCCAGGCACTGTTCTGGTGCTTTCAGTATATCAGCCCGTTTAATCCCCCCAACGCTAGGAGAAAGGTACTATTATTACCCATATTTACAGATGTGGAGACTGAGGCATAAATAAATTAATTAACTTGCCTAAGGTCACATACCGCAGTTGACAGAACCAAGATCCAATCCACTAAGCTACAGAGGGGAGGTTCCAGGCGGTGACATGACTTTTGGACCACTTGCAACACCTTTTCCAGCCCACCAAAGATGTTCTTCCAATCCCCCTGCCCCCCATGGCTTAAAGTGTCGTATAATTCTTCAGACCCTGTGACCTTGCTGGGTCAAAGGGCTTCGATTAGCTTTCTAACTGGTTTAGCTTTTTTCTTTTCTTTTCTTTTCTTTTCTTTTTTCTTTTCTTTTCTTTTCTTTTCTTTTCTTTTCCCTTGACCGCTCTGGGAGGCTTGTGGGATCTTAGTTCCCTGAACAGGGATCTAACTGGTGCCGCCTGCAGTGGAAGTGAGGAGTCCTAACCATTAGACCGCCAGGGAAGTCCCTGGTTTAGCTTTTCTTGAGCATCTCTTAGGTGCCTTGCTCCTTACTAAGTGCCGTGGAGTCCCCTAGCCCCGGGCAGTTTATATGTGATTGAAGACACAATCTTATTTCTTCATTAGTTAAATGTTTAAGAACTTCCTCAAAAGAAGAATGAGGCTGTCCCTAGTCTCAAGGAGTGTGTGGGTTTCTGGGAGAGAAAGGCTTAGATTATACTAAGATTATAGTAAGGATGGACACAGAGAGAGGGGAAAGAGAAGGGGAGCCGGCTGACCCCACTGGAGCCCTGTGTCCTGGGTGGGGGCAGGCTGCTACCAGTTCCCGTGTGGAAGTCTGTCTGGGTGGAAGATGGGAGGGCCGGCTGGAGGCAGGGGCCAAACTGTTCTGTAGGTGATCATGGGGTAGGGAGGACAGAGGCACGGGGGAAGACCCCCAAATAGGTCCCCTACGGGAGTTTGCTTGAGGATGCTCATCGCCACCGTGCTGTTGTGGGGAGCTGGAAGTAGCCTGGGGGTCCATCACAGGGAGAGTGGGTAAGAGAGAGAAGGGGATACCCACCGCCGGGTCTATTCAGATGACAGATACCGTGTGAGACGTACACAGGGCAACGTGAATGATGCTTACGGACGCTGAACACACATTTGGCAAGCGTGCACACAACCAAAAAGCAGCGCATCAAACACGCTGGAATAGTTGCCTGTGGTGGGGAGCAATGGAGTGGGACATAGAATTAAAAGGGAATAAATGAATAAATAGAATCAAAGAGCGGTCTTGCACAGACAAGTGTCTGTCCTGAACTGAAAATTATGATTAACTTGTCCCTCTGAACCCAAGGCCTGAAAAGTGGACGTAGGAAAAAAGTATAAGAGAAAGAGTAAGAAAGCCCAGGTCTAGCCTGAGTCTTGTTACTAACTTGCTGTGTGACCATAGGCAAGCCCCTTCACCTCTCTGTGCCTAGTTTCCATGGGTTAAAAAAAAAAAAAAATCAATTCTCAGATCTCTTCCAGCTCTGAGTTTTTGTGAACCACAATGAATGATCTTGGGTTACCTGGTAAAGAAGCCAATAAAAGCTTTATGGAGTGGTAGGGCTTGAACTTTAAAAATGGGGGGTTTGGGAGACATAAAGAAAAGGAGGGTAGTTCTCAGGCAGGGGAAACATTGAAAGCAAAGCCATGAAGATTACAGCAGATGGCTATGAAAAGTCTGACCGAGGGCTCAGTGTATCTGGGGGGGCCTTAGCCCAGTTCTTCCCTGGGACTCCCTAGCCTGGCTGGGGATACCACCTGCAATCCAACAGCCAAGTCAGAGACCTTTCAGTCCTCCCAGTTCAGGTGTTCACCAGTTACCAAATCATGTCTACCCACCCCGATTCCCACTATAATGCCACCCTAGTCCCAGGCTTCAAGCCTGGCCTCTACTATGGACCATCCTTCCTCCATTCCCCCAGAGTATTCTTTCTTTACCTCAAGACTGACCACGTCGCTTCTGGGCGTGTGATCCTTCGACCTGCCCTGACCTCAGCTGATGTTCTCCACTTTTGTTCTGCTGCTGCACCTTTTGAATATAAACAGAGCCATCAGCAATGTTGCTCAACACAGACACTGATTCTCATCCAGAGAAGATGTCAGAATTCCAAAGTCTTAGGGAGAGGGGACAGTGAGAATCCCTGGCTGTAGGACACAGCCTTTATCACATCATTCAGAACATCTTGAATGATGCCCTTGAACCAGCACTTCCCACTGCTCCAGCTCCAGTTCCATCACTCCCTGACCCTCACAAGTTAAGCTCCAAGCAATTTTTAGTTCCGTCAATGTGAACACATCACGCATACTCACAGTTCTGTGGCTTTGCCCATCTTGTTCCCTCTGCCTGGAATATACCAGTTCCTCCACCACCAACCTGTCTGCCTTGCAAATCCTACTCACCCTGCAAAACCCAGCTCAGATGCCACCTCCTCTGAGCAGCCCTCTCTACTTCTTCTTACACAGACAGAACTAATACCCCCGTTTGTGCCACCCTGCACCATGAATATGCCTGAGGATTTTCATGCCTCCCACAGTGCTGTCATTGAGTCCTGGTCTATGTCCCTGATAGACCCCTGATAGGCTGTGACTCCTTGCAGGTGTGCACAGTATGGTGGATTTATCATTGCATCCCCTGCACCAGCCCACTACCAACACATGGGGCCATAGTGCAAGTTTGTTCCATTGGGTTTAATATGTGTTTGGCAGGTAATGGTTCTTCCTTTTTACTCCCCACAGAAAACAAGTGATTGCTTTTCTTTCCTCATTTTTGGAAGCCCTGCCTACCACACAGCTGCAGTGGACATCCCGGTTCCTTGATGGACGAAGAAGGCCAACTGACCCAGCCTCAAGACCAGAGCTGCTGGGCCACCCTGCCCGATGTGTGCCTACATCGTATTTTCTGGTGGCTGGGAGACAAGGACAGGTCCAGAGCAGCGCTTGTCTGCAGAAGGTGGAACCAGATGATGTATTCGGCCGACCTCTGGCGATACAGGGCCATCACGTTTAGTGGGAGACATTCCAGGGTACACGCGTACGAATTTGAGTCGGCTGTTTGGTATGTTAAGAAATTTGGTCGTTACCTGGAGCACCTGGAGATCAAATTCCTGACTCCTTACAGCGTTGTCCTGACCAAGAAGTTCCAGGTCACCATGCAAGGCCTTCTGTCGTGTCTGGGCAAGAGAAACAACCGTCTGAAATCTCTCTCCATCCAGTACCTGGAACTGGACCGCCTGGTCTGGAGGAACAGCGTCAGAAGCTTGTTCTTGAAAAGCTTGAGCTCCTTCTTGAAGAAAATGGGCAAACACCTGGATCATCTCAACCTAAAAGGGGCCAGGCTCACCGTGGAGCAGGGCTGCCACATCCTCAACTCCCTGAGCTACTTACGGACAGAGAGTGCGGTGTCAGAGCTCAACATCGAGGACTATTTCAGCCACCGCCTCGCTGTCTACAGCAGCCCCCAGTTCAACCAGACCATGGCCACGTTCCGCAACCTGGTGTCCCTGACCCTCAACTACAACTGCATCTCCGATGAGCTGCTGGAGAACTTGGGTGAGAACAATGCCGGCACCCTCTGGAGCATGAACATCAAGTGCCACGTTCATGACCCCCACGGGCAGGTCGTCTGGGGCATGTCCTGGGCCAAGCTGGCCAGGTTCGCCACCAAGCTGAAAGTCAACTTCGTCTTTGAGAAAGTCGTGCAGTATGAGCGCTTGGCCCGGATCCTCCTACAGGAGATCCCGATCAGGAGCATTAGTCTGAGAAACTGCTCTTTCAGCAACCCCGACTGGTCCATGAAGCCCACTCTGACGGATCTCCTGCCCACCTTCCGGCACACTCTGCAGGTAGGTATGAGCTGAGGGCTGGGAGGCTTGTGAGGAGCGGCTGCCCCTCAGGTTCCTGCTCCCTGCTCTTGCCTGGGCTTGCACACACTCACTCAAGGTCAAATTGAGGTTCTGGGAAACGTCTCCAAACTAAGCCTCCCCCGGTCCCCAAGACCGCAGCAGAGGACAAAATCTACTGCTCACTTCCTAGACGTGGAAGCAATTCCTGATTGTCAACCAAGGAGAGCGCCTATATCCCTGGCTCAGAGCTGTGAGGCCTGAGCACGCAGGTGCCTCTACAGGTGAGAAGCAGGGCAGCAGCTTCTACTTCTCCACCCAGTCACAGCAGCACACAGGCCCCAGTGTGACTCCAAACCAGGCAAAAAGCCAAATTTGACCCAAGTTACAGAAGAGCTCAGAGGTGTGGGCAGCTCCCCATCTATAAAATCGGGATCATTTTGTCCCCCACGCCAAAGACCTCTCAGCTGTGAGGATTGATACTCAAGCGTATAAGTACCACTACGAACGGTGAGGGATGACAAAGTGCTAAGAGCTCATTTACGTTCACACAGCCCTGAAGTGGGCAGGCTGACATCATAGCCATTCGGTGCTGCCCATGGCCACCTGGCTAGTCCATCGCAGGGCCAGGACCACCACTTTGGTCTCCAGACTCCAGATACATTGCCTTGAAACTCCAAGTCTCATAAATTTGGATGAGATCACTTTCATTCCCAAATCCCTTCTTCCGACCACTGCTTGTCCAGTGCCCCTTATCTAAAGCACTTGAACCACCATGGGCTACCAGGCCAAAGCCGGGTCATGAAAGTGTTATGGAATGATCCAACCAGTCCCAGCATCTCTGTCCACATCCGTCTTCCCCTCTGGTGCTTTTCCAGAAACTAAGTTTTGAGTTCAACAACAACCATGAGTCTCTGGACGAGGAGCTGCACCTCCTCATCTTATCCTGCAGGGAGTTGTTTTACTTCAACATCTGGGCTTTCCTTGATGTTAACTTTGTGGAGCAGATCCTGAAGAGTCAGGAAGAAGGGCGGTGTGCCCTGCGCACACTCAAGGTAAGAGCCCGCCCGGGGTGGGTTCCACGGGGATCGGGCAAGGGCATCCAGGCCCCTGGGCGGGCAGGCGTCCAGCCCCAGCGTTCCTGCTCTGGGATGAAGGTCAGGAGCGAGGCAGGGCATGGGGGCAGGATGTCTCACAAGTCCGTCCATTGGAAGTTAACAATTTCACGGAAGGGAATCTGGAGGTTTCATCCTTAGTTGGGCTTGGGCTTTTCCTGGTTCTGACAACAATTGTACGTGTACATCACTCAGATTGTCTTTGGGGTCTGGGGGATGTAGCCGCTGTGTGTGTGTGTGTGTGTGTGTGTGTGTGTGTGTGTGCGTGCGCACACGCGGGGGTGTTTGTCTATCGGCACAGGTGAGAATTTATACAAACAGATATGAGACGCCTGAAGAGGACAGGACACTGCGGCATATTTACAGGAAGTACAGAATGCTGATCGATTCAGAGTTTAACTATTTTTCCGTCGCTTACTGCATGACATAAGGAGCGCTCTCCAGAGGAAGAAAACCAAGAGCACTTTGACCTTGACAATCCGAGCCTCACAGAATGACACTTCGGGCATCCCTTACCCCAGCCCTCTTTCTCCTCTCTCTCCTCTTTGCTAGTTTCACACCAACATGACACCCCAGCAACGGCTGGGACTTCTGGTCATGTGAAGACCCCAGGTGACTTTAAAGTGCTATATTTACCAACTATCTGGGTGTGATTTCTTTTTTTTGTCATTTGGTTTTGCTTTTTGACCCTCACTCAGCCACAGAACTGAAAGCCCAAAGCCGCTTGGAGCAGTGTCTTACTCGGGGACCCTGACTCTTGCTAATCTCCCTCCGGAAAAGGTGTAAGTAGCCAGAGAGCAAATGGAGCTGCATTTTCCACTGACTGTCAGCGTCAGTTCAGAAACACTTTCTATCCCGGCTGACCTTCACATCAGAGCCTTCTGCCATTGACGCTGGCCAGGCCTGATCTCAGATGAAAGAAATTCACCAGCACATCCTAGAGTGAAGTAGGGAAATTCCCTCCTTTAGAAGGAGCCTGCTCAGAGCAGGAACTCCCTCCCACAGGAGATCAGCCCCTAATTTATCAGTGTTGTGGACTTGGGTCTCCCACATCTGCTTTTCTGGGGTCTCCTTTATTCCCCATCCAGGCAGCATGGCGCCCAGCCTGCTACAAACGTTCAGTTCTCATGTGGGGCTGAACCAGAAGTGGCCTTTACACTCATATTCACAAAGAATCTGTAATGTCCTGGAGAACTATTCCTAATGTGATGTTAAGTGAAACTGTGTTTAGCGTGATACCGATCATGTAAAAACACAAACACAGTTCTGTGGGGTTTTTTGCAGTACGCGGGCCTCCCACTGTTGTGGCCTCTCCCATTGCGGAGCACAGGCTCCGGACACGCAGGCCCAGCGGCCGTGGCTCACGGGCCCAGCCGCTCCGCGGCATGTGGGATCTTCCCGGACCGGGGCACGAACCCGCGTCCCGTGCATCTGCAGGCGGACTCTCAACCACTGCGCCACCAGGGAAGCCCTACAGGGTTTTTTTTAAGCATAGAAGAGATATACCAAAAATCTTAATAGTTATCTCTGGGTGGTGGGATTATGGGTGATTTTTATTTCCCTTTTCATGATTTCCCCTATCTCTCATTTTCTACAAAGACCATGTGTTATTTTTATAGTCACAGGGAAATCTGATGGGTTTTAAACAGGGAATAAGGGTAAATTCCTGAGCCCATGCCATTGACATAGATTGCTTTTGGTCTTTTGAGATTTTTGTGCATATAGTTGCTTATAGGGGGGGTTTCCAATAGATAAAAATGAATATATCTCAGAACATTTTGACAAGTGTTTCACTTGCGATATTATCTTATCTTTTGTGTGTTGTGTCCATATTTATGCTTAGCTTTTCAGGTCTTTGTTCAAGTTCATATTTATCCAGTGCTTTTCAATTTTCACAGGATTTCCACATTCACTGTCATATCTGAATGTCCCCGCAATGCTGTTGGGTGCCTATGGTTCCTGTTTCATGAACATTCAGAAAAGATCGACACTGGCAAGTGGTGTGGAGTCCCTATCTTGTTACCAAACTTGGGTTCTGCTGCTTGTCACTCAGGAATCCAATACTGAGAGACAAGTGTTGGGTAAAAGGAAAGATAGCTTTGTTGAGGAAGCCAGCAATCCTGGGGAGAAGGTGGACTCATGTCCCAAAGAACCAACTCCCTACTGTTGATCAGGGGCAAGAGCTTTTAAAGGGGAGTTTTAGGGGTGCACAGGTGGGTGGGGGGCTACGTGCAGAACAGCACAGTCAGCTCCAACAGTCACCTTGAAATTGGTCATGCAGAGGTCTGATCAGCCTCATCTTGATTGTTTTAAGTACAGTTAATCTTCAGTTCCAGGGTCGCTTTGTTCCCATTTCCTTGAGGCCAGTTCTTGGAATTGTGCAAGATGGAGCAGCTCATGTCATGGCCACAGTCTGGTCATCATGTAGGTTACTTCTTCCACCTGGTGGAGGTTTCAGTATCTGTAAAACAGCTCAAAGGATATGGCTCAGAATATTATCTGTAGCCCTTGAGGAGGAACTATATGTCCTTGACTTTCCTTAATGGTTAAACTATGATTATTTTGTCTTCTTTGACTGTTTGCATTTCTTTCTGCATTTTCTTGTCTGATTAAATTTATTCTTTGGCTAAAGTTTTTCTACAGACAAGAGAAAGGCCCCTATCTGTCCCAGAAAGGCCCCATAGGGTCCTGCTTGGTTATAATCTAATGAGAGCTCCCAGGTCTTAGTTGCTGAAACCAGAAGGGCCCTTGGGAGCCATCTAGTGCCTGTGGACCAGAGATGAGGCAGCTTGCTTTAGGGGAGAGGGAAGGCTCAGCTGGAGTGCAGACCACCTGGGAGACTGACTGATTGATTGATTGGTGTAATGATTTATTCATGCTGTGGACCAGTTCTGGTTAGTTTCCTTTCGTCCCCAAACACAGGATCTAAGCATAGAGGACTCTTTTATGGAAAACATGTTAACAGAAGTAACATTTTTATGAACATGTTTTCCATAAAAGAGTGGATTTGTTTTCCAGTTTTGCAAATCTCTTGCACATCCCGCTTAATAGCAGACAGCTGGGTTCTCATCCGGGTTTCTGCGGTCTGTCATAACGTCAGACGCCGTGCGGGGAGCCTCCGCAAAACTCCAGAGAGAATTAAAGTGAAAAAGGCACGTAACGTCTTGCTATTAGTGGATCTCTTGAAAACATGTCTCAAGGACCCTCAAAGATTCCCCTGACCACACAGAGAGCTACCGCACAGACCTTCCTGTTCCCCGAGGAATCGAAACAGCAACAAGCCCGGGAGAGTCCTAGTGGGAACGTGCAGAGCACACGAGGTTTCCGAACCCACGGATTTTTAACAGGTATCCGCTTTTTAATTTACCGCGTTCAGAGGCGCCGTGGTAGGTGGAGACACAGACCTGTGGCCTGGCTGGGTGACAGCTTATCCACGCCTGTCCTGCAGTGCAGGGCAAGAGGCCGGAGGGCTGCTCCCACACGCCTCCCCCTGCTGAGGGTCCACAGAGAGCATGCGGTTCTTTGCAGAAACGCGCAGAAGAAACTGGCACGTCCTGTCTTGTATGGATGGGCAGGAAGCACATTCTGACTCCCCAGTGCCTCCTCTCAGCTGTTGGCGGGGCTGATGAAGCCCCGGCCACCAAGTGACTGGGGTCAGCTCCTCAGAATTTACGAAAATAGGAGGAAAGTAGGGCTGTGATCAGACTAAGGTGTAAACAGTTACCCCAGGCAAACTGACAATGAAAGTGCAGTTTTTCGTTTTTGAAAAGACTCTCAGGGGCGGACCTCTGACTCTCTGGGCTGGAAGGGTTCTGAGACTTGGGTTCCTGGTCCACTTAGGCCACTAATTTGTGTGACCCTGCATAAGTTCTTTATCCTGCTCAGATCTTAGTTTCTGCTGTCTGTCAAATGGGAAAAGCTGAACAGTGTATCACTAAGGTCCTTGAAAGACTAATAATGCTGGGATGGGGTGTGTGACACTGAACCTGGTGTGAATGGCCACATTCCTCAGCCTGGGCTTCCAAGCCAGGCTGCCTGGGTTTGAGTTCTGAGCTGCCCCTCACTTGCTGTGTGCCCTTTGGCAAGTATTCCCTGTCCCCCAGAGTGTTAACAGCTCTGTTTGTGCATGGAAAAATAATAGCGCCTCCCACCCGGGTCTGCTGTGAGGGATCAGTGATTTAATACATGTAATGCCACACATAAGCCTATCCCTTGGACGTTCAACAAATGTTGGCTTTTATCTTGTTTAATAAATGAGGAAACAGACTCAGCAAAGGAAGGTCACTTGCCCAAAGTCATACAGCCATTTTGTGGCAGGACCAATACTACGGTTTTCTGATTCAGAACCCAGAACTCTTTCTCCCAACCCTAAGGATAAAACGGGAAGAACCCAGTTCCCCTCCCCGTCCCTACTCAGCCCATGCCAGACAGATAATTAACGTGATCACTGGTTGAGTGTTTACTATGTGATAGGTATTAATTCACAGTTTCATTTAATCCTCACTACAGCTCTTGAAGGTAGAGACTGTTACATCCCTCTTTTAGAGAGAGAAGAAAACTGAGGCTTAGCATGATGAACCTGCCCAAGGTCACACGCTTAGGAAGCTTTGGAAGTGAGCCTCAAACCCAACCCAACTCCAAAGCCATTCTCTTACTTACCACGTATCGCCTCCCACAGCAAAAAGATTTGGAGTCAATCATACTGTAATTCCATTTAGCACAGGAGCGTGTGGAGGAGAGGATCAATGAAAACTTTTGTTTTACTGTGTTTAGCTTAGAAATGCTGCCGGGTCCAACAGATCTCTTAAGAACCAAGTATTTGAGTAAAACAGAACAATATGAATTCATCGTTATGATGTTTTTAGGATGATGTCATTGTTTCAGAAAAAAACGTCACCAGCGGTAACTTGATAGAAACAATCTTTTATTAACACAAAATAGTCCGCTTCTTTGATGGATACTTACGCCTTTATACAAGTGACCCAAACAGCTATTCCAGAGAGGGGACCTACAGAAAATTTGATTTGCAGTTGGAGGCCACAGAATTGTATTAGTTCACTGGATGAATATCACACACAGAGATATATCACACACAGAGATTGCCTGCCTTCCCTGGGTGGTGTTTAGAAAATTAATCTGATTCCTATTCCTCTACATTTGCAAAAGTACAGATTTTAAAAAACAGTCTAGACAGCCACACAGAAAATCTCAAATGCTCAGGTGGTGTGTAAGCCCCTTGAGAGCATACATTTTTGCTTTGTTCGTTGTGTATCCTGCGTGCGTAGAACTGTG